CATACCATGAGCTGGACAGACAGGTTGAAGAACCTGATGCCCTAGCTGCAGGAGCTGAACTTGAAGACCCCAAGCAGAATGAGACAGAGGAAGAGAAAAATGCAAAACATCACTTGGGGGCAACTGAAAAGTAACAGCTTGAATATGTGTGCTTGCAAGGTAGCTATTATTAGAGGCTGTGATTTTGTGTATAAACCACCTGTATTTACTAGCCAGTTGTTAATAAGCTACACCTTGTATTATATGGATTTGTCACTTGTAAAAGAGATGTTAGAGCATGCAAATTTATATCAGCTGCTAGAAAATGCTAAGGCAGAATCTAGAAAGATTCTAATGGGATGGTAGTGTTATAAGGCAGGTAATGGAACGAATTAAGAGGGTGGGAAAACCCCATAGGTGGGAAATTTATTTGGCTGGTCCTTCACTGCGATGAGCATCTTCAAAGCTCTGCTGCACCCTGTAGTAGTTATACTGCTAATGTAAACATGTGTGTGCTTTGCCATAGTAGCAACTTGATATTGGATGAGGCAGTTGAAACTCTGCATTGACAATGAGGTGCAAGGACTGAGGTTGGCCAAATGCCTCCTACCACAGTCAAGTTAAACCACGACAACTGGATTGGCCTCTGTGTTTGCCACCAGGAAGAACCTTTAGCTCCACTGTTGGCTGCAACCTAGCAGGCATGGAGTGGTGGGGACACATGCCATGCCGGACCTTGATGTGAGGGATGGCCTCCCCTGTTATCAGAGGGCCATCCAGGAGAGAAGGGCAGGCCAAGCAGCCTGTGATTGGCATGAGAGATGATCTAGTCCAAATCCCCTGCTCAAGCAGGGTCATCTAAAGCAGGTTTCATCACTAGCATAAGTAACCATTATAACTAATAATAATATAATAAATAACTATTGTATTTGAATCTTCTATTCTTAAAGACATTAGCATTAGCTCAAGAAGCTGCTCTTGTGTGATTTAAGATTCCTTAAGCAGAGAATGGCATAAAGAAAGCCAAGGACTGTGTCTCTGGAAGTAACAGCATCTATCTCCAGATTCCCAAGACTCCCAGTATATCTGACCAATGCATTGGTGAAACCTTGTTTTTGAAGCCTGGACATCACTACTTCGCTTTGCTTTTCCTCCGTGTCATCTAGAGACTTGTTACCAGTTTGTGAATTACAGAAGCCAAAGTGCTTGCTACCTTGGTCGTGCAAAACAAAACAGGACAGCAATTAATTTTTTTGCTTTTAGTACATAAGCATGGGTGTGAAGACTTTGACGAGTTATGTTGTATGAATTTAAATGACCACTTCAGTTCAATACATGCATAAATGGAAAAGTTGAAGACCCTCGCTAACCAGCTAGCAGAAAACACCAGGTGGAACCCCTTTCAGAGATGGACATGGGGGGTGGGACTAGCTGCGAAAAGCTTTTGTATTATTAGTGGTAATAGGTATTGGGTTTTTATGTATTTTATGTTGCATTCCTTGTCTTTTAGAGCTAATCCGTTCCCTTATAGACAGTATATTATATAAAATGGTAGCATGGATGGTAAAATATTTGTGTGTTCCAACCACAGACCACAGGGTGGCATGTGTCAGGGACAATAGATAATGGTTGGTGGTGAAACACACAAAGATAGATAAGTACTGTTTGTCCGCTTTGGCTTCTCCCCAGAAGGTCCTGCTTTGCCTCCTCCCCAGAGAGTCCTGCTTTGGCTGCTCCCCAGAAAGTCCAGCTTTGGTTCCTTCCTTTAGAACTCCATGGAAAAGTCCTGACCCTTGGAGACCTTTCTTTTCTATTGGAGACCACTATTGCTGGCCACTTCTTCCAATGTAGGCTGGCTCTCTGTGTCAGAATGAGTGTGCATTTTTGTTAGTATAAAAGCCTGAGCCTCATGCAATGCAGGGAGGCAGAACCTCATGCCACCCAGGTCAACGTTGCCTCCATGGGGACGCCTGCTAAGGTTGAGCCTGCCACCTCGCACTGTGATGATGTTTCTCGGAGCTAGTTTCCTGATTGTCCTTACATGGTCTTTGGGGCTGGTAAGATAACAAATATCAAAAGTATCCTTTACTGTATCTGTTAGTATCTCTATATTCTCCTATATTAATAAACTAGTTGAGTTCTGTATTTGTGTCTGGTTTCTCTCACCTGGAATCCTCGAACTCTGGAACAAGCACTTCCTCTTATGTCCACGGGACCTGATGAAATCCATCTGTGGGTAGTGAAGGAGCTGGCAAATGAAGTTGCTAAGATGCTGTCCATCACATTTGAAAAATCATGGCAGTCAGGTGAAGTTCCTGATGACTGGAAAAAGGGTAATATAACCCCCATTTTCAAGAAGGGGAAAATGGATGACCCGGGGAACTACAGGTCAGTCACTCTCACCTCTGTGCCTGGCAAAATCTTGGAAGAGATTCTCCTGGAAAGCACGCTAAGGCACATGAAAAACAACAAGGTGCTTGGTGACAACCAGCATGTCTTCACTTAAGGGAAATATTGTGACCTGTGTGGTTGCCTTCTATGATGGGGCTATGGAACTTATGGACAGGGGTAGAGCAGTTGATGTCATCTGCATGGACTTATACAAAGTGTTAGACACCTTCCTGCATGAAATCCTTGTCTCTAAATTGGAGGGACATCAATTTGATAGGTGGACCACTCAGTGGATAAAGAACTGTCTGGATGGTCACATGCAAAGAGTTGTGGTCAATGGCTCAATGTCTAGCTGGAGACCAGTAACAAGTGGTGTCCCTCAGGGATTGGTGTTGGGACCGGTCTTGTTCAACATCTTTGTCAGTGACATGGACAGTGAGATTGAGTGCACCCTCAGCAAGTTTGCTGATGACACCATGCTGTGTAGTTTGGTTGATAGTCTGGAGTCAAGGGATACCATCCAGAGGGACCTTGAAACGCTTGTGCGACATGCTGATGCCATCGTGAAGTTCAGCCAAGCCAAGTGCAAGGTCCTACACCTGTGTTGGGGCAATCCCAGGCACAGCTACAGGTTGGGCAGAGAAGAGATCCAGAGCATCCCTGTGGAGTAGGACATGGGGCTGTTGGTTGATGATAAACTCAGTGTGAGCCGGCAGTGTGCACTCGCAGCTCAGAAAGCCAACCATACCCTGGGCTGCATCAAAAGGAGCATGACAAGCAGGTAGAAGGAGGTGATCCTGCCCCTCTGCTCTTGTGAGACCTTACTTGGAGTATTGTGTGCAGCTCTGGTGTCCTCAACATAAAAAGGACATGGAACTGTTGGAACAAGTCCAGAGGAGGGCCATGAGGTTGATCAGGGGACTGGAGCACCTCCCATATGAAGACAGGCTGAGAAAGTTGGGGCTGTTCAGCCTGGAGAAGAGAAGGCTGCGTGGAGACCTCATAGCAGCCTTCCAGTATCTGAAGGGGGCCTACAAGGATGCTGGAGAGGGACTCTTCACTAGGGACTGTAGTGATAGGACAAGGGGTAACAGGTTCAAACTTAAACAGGGGAAGTTTAGATTAGATATAAGGAGGAAATTCTTTACTGTGAGGGTGGTGAGGCACTGGAATGGGTTTGCTAAGGAAGTGGAATGCTCCATCCCTGGCAGTGTTCAAGGCTAGGTTGGACAGAGCCTTGTGTGACACGGTTTAGTGTGAGGTGTCCCTGCCCATGGCAGGGGGGTTGGAACTAGATGATCTTATGTTCCTTTCCAGCCCTAACTATTCTATGATTATATGATTCTATGACTATCCTAGCATTCTTTTGTGCCACTGGTTATGTTGAAAGAATAATGAAAAGTCTGAGTGAGTCACTTTAATTATTAGGAACAGACAGTAACAAAAATATGCCCCCTATAATTTTTTAAGAGTTGTAGACTTTAAATTGTTGCACACTTAGAAAAAATGCTTTCTCTGTGAGAAAAGTTTTTTTTCTGTTTTGTAGAAGGCTAAGTGCAGCCAACTCTGTGTGTCTTTATTTGTATGATAATGAGTTCATTTTTGAGGACTGTGATGATTTTGTGTGTGTGTGTGTGTGTGTGATTCCTGTGCAGCTGGTGAATGTTTCTAGAAGCCTGTGTGCAGGCTTATGAACTAACCCATAGCTGGTAGTTACCTTTCATTTGAAAGAGGCAGAATATGTGCATTAAGAATTACGATACAAAAACCTGTATTTAAATGTCAAGTCTTGCTTCTTATTTACGGTGAAAAAATGTTGCTTTTCTTATTGCAAAGGATATTCTGCAAACCTTTATCTTAACACATATGCTTTTAAATTTTATTCAGTTATGGATAATTTGTGTATGCAGCCTGTTGAGCACTAGGAACAGGCTATGTTTAACCTTTGTTTATGCAAAACCTCTGAAACACAGCATTAGTTTAATCCTTTCTTCTTTTGTTTCACACCACAGTTCTCTTATCATGTGGGTTGTGAAGGGTTCCATTCTTTAGGATTGCTATCAGGCCTGATTTATGAATAATCTGATAAAGAGCCAGCTGCACTCCCAGAAATGTGCCTTAGGTAGATTTGTATGACAGTGAGTGGTGAGGCACTGGAACAGGTTGCCCGAAGAAGCAGCAAATGCTCCATCCCTGGAAGTGTTCAAGGCCAGATTGGACAGGACCTTGAGCAACCTGATCTAGTGGGAGACATCCTTGCTCACGTCAGGGGATTTGGAACTCGATGATCTTAAGGTCCTTTCCAACCCAAGCCATTGTATGATTCTATGCAACAGGGTGACTTCACTAGGAAAAAGTAAATGAAGAAAACCATTAGAATCATAGAATAGTTAGGGTTGGAAAGGACCTTAAGATCATCTAGTTCCAACCCCCCGCCATGGGCAGGGACACCTCACACTACCCCATGTCACCCAAGGCTCTATCCAACCTGGCCTTGAACCCCGCCAGGGTTCATTAAGATACTGAACCATACTGTCTGTCATTGAAAGCTTTGAGTTGTTTAGGTAATACTGTGAAGACCAGGACTGAGTGAGTTATTTGGGTAAATTATTCTTACTGTTCTTGTGCAGGCTGCTTTACTGCTGAAGTTCCTATATAGTTCACCCAGTCTTCCAGAGAGTGTGCTCCATGCTTTGAGACCAGGAAGACCGTGGTGTTCTGAAATGAAGATGGAAGCAGTGGGAAAAGCAGAACAACTTGATTCAGAAGTTCCACCAAAGACTTCTGAAAAGCAAGAGACTTCTCCTGATGAAGACAGACCTATAGAACTCAAGACACAAACTCGGGAAGACAACATGCCCCCTGCAGCAGGCTCTGTGGTGCTCTCTTCGATGCCTTGCTTACTGATGGAACTGAGGCGAGACTCCTTGGAGTCTCAGCTAGCATTTATGGAGAGCCATAAGCCAACACGTGGTCAAGTTTACGAGAGTGACTCTTCTAATCACTGCATGCTTTCTCCTTCTTCCAGCGGGCATTTGGCTGACTCAGATACGTTGTCTTCCACAGAAGAGAATGAGCACTGTCAGGCTGAAGCTGCTGTAGAGGGAGACTCTTCTGTGGTGTCCAGGGCTGTAGTTGGGAGGAAATCCAGGCGATCCAGGTCCGAAAGTGAAACTTCAACAATGGCTGCCAAGAAAAACCGACAGTCTAGTGATAAGCAGAATGATCGAGTTACCAAGGTAAAAGGTCATCGAAGCAAAAAGCACAAAGAAAGAATCCGGCTCTTAAGACAGAAACGGGAGGCAGCTGCTCGCAGGAAGTACAACCTGCTGCAAGATAGCAGTACCAGTGATAGTGACCTGACATGTGACTCGAGCATGAGCTCGTCAGATGATGATGAAGAAGTTTCAGGGAGCAGCAAGACAATCACTGCAGAGATACCAGGTAGAGGATGTTTTTTAAACTGAACTGTAACACATCTGATGTCATTTCTCGGCTGTCGTGCTAAATTAGATGAGTGACACCTGAGAAAGAACAGAACTGCAGCTCTGTAAATGTGAAGACTGCAGTATATTAACAAGACATGGGCAAATTTTAAAATCTGTTCTGAGATTTCAGTGTACTTTTTCACACCAACAAAGCATAGAAATGGTAAATTGGAGGAAGGGCTATCTTTGAATTCTGGAATTTTCAGATCTTTTCCTTTGTAAGGTTCTATGAAATCCTATCAGTACTGTCAAATCCCATTAGACTGTGATAATCTAGTAAATACATTCTTAAGATAAGTGGCAAGCTTTGCTTTAATACATTTAAGACAACAGCTCAGCAGCTGTTAGAAACAACATGGCATACCTCTTGTGTCACAGTAAGGCCCTGTTGATTATTGCATTGCCATGTGCTTTCAGCTATACATTTCAGTGCATGACAAAGCTACTTAGCCTTATTGTAAGTTCTTGCAGATTGCAGCTGGTCACCTATTTTAGGATATAAATATAAATTTGTTTACACAGGTGCCCAAGCTCTTTCCACCCCTAAATTTTCAGCATCTTAGACAAAGCTGTTACCATTTTCCTATATCATAAGGAACTATTATTTCTATACTTTTAATTTTTGACACATCCATGTTAAGATTGGAGGCAGCAAATTATAGAGGCCTTCTCATGATTTTATTAGCAAAAGAAAGATGAATTCAAGGTTTTTTTCTGCTGAGTCTTTGTTATTTTATTAGTTCAAGTGTCATGGACAGAATTTTGTGTGAATTATTCTTGCAGCATATTATTACATGGCAATCAAAAATAAAGTCACATAAAACCAAACTTTTTGGCTTGCCAATTTTTACTGGGTTACGTGGCTTTCTGCCTTTTGTGCTAGAAGGTTGGGTTTTTTTTTTTGAGATATCAGCTTACATAGGGCAAGAACATTTAAAGGAAAACTGCAATAATTAGTCTTAAGTTGATGAACTTTTTGCTAGAGGAATTATTTAAAATATTTGCAGCAGATTTTACCAATAACTTTTAGCTGACTTCATTATGGTGAATAATTCTGGCACCATGAGAAGTGTCATTTTCCCCACATTGCTAGAAAAGAAGTTAATGTGTATTATTAGTAGGACTGGGAAAAGCATAGTCCTGCTGTAATTATTGTGTAGTAAACTTTTAATAGCAATCTAAATTTATTATTTTATTTTTTTTTACAAATTTAGTATTCAGTCAAAGTTCTAGCTTTTGTAGTTTTGTGCCTTTCTATTTACTATATTTACACTTTGCTGGGCAATTAAAGCCTGATTTAAAGCCTGTCAAAGAAGACATAATGAGTTCTGGGACAGGTTCCTCAGACCTCAAAAAACCCAAAACACACAATAAATCCCCCAGGTTATATTCTTTAAGTCATGAAATACCTTGTGACCTAGAAAGGCACCACATGGGATTTTCAGATTTTAGATTTCTGACTTCCATTCTAGGGATCTGAAGCCACTCTAGGGTGCATTTTCTGTATCACTAGGCTTTTTTGTGTTTGAGCTCTTGGTCTTAACAGTGAGATGCTTGCAGTGAAAAGGTCCCATTGCAGTGTAGAAAATAACTTATTTAGTGATGATTACATCAAGGCCCAATTTTACCTGTGATTTGGGAGTGAAAAAAACATCCTGAGGAACAATTACATTTATTCTTATTACATAGCGCATATCATCTGCTTGATACTAAACTGCATTTAAAACATTAAAACTTTTGAGCTGTCCTTTTGGAATTAGGGGTAATATGTACCTGCCACATTGTCTTTTTCCTTTAAGTAAAAATGACTGTGGTTTGTGGGAAACAGTCTACAAATAAAAAATAATCTCCATAGAGATAAGGACAAGGCTGGCTAAAAATGCATCCTGTGCTACTAGTGGGTTAATGAAATGCTGTGGTCTTAGCAGATGTAGTGGAGCTGTGAATCTGAGTAAGACTCCCAGCTCTGTCACAGTGGTAGATTCACATGCCATCTGCGATCCCTCTTCTTGGAACTTGCAAAGTACTTAACTTTTTTTTTTTCTTTATTACTACTACATAGCACCATGAATATCCTCAAAATTTAGGGAATGATCACATTGTTAGAAAATAATACAGGGTATCAGAAAGCAAGAAGACTGTCACGGTTTAAGCCCAGCTGATAACTTAGAACCACACAGCCGCTCACTCACTTCCCCAGTTGTTCCCTGCCCCCACTCCCAGAGGGATGGGGGGGAGAATTGAAAGTATGTAAAACCCATGGGTTGAGATAAGAACAGCCCAATAAGTAAGGTACCATACAAAACTATTGCTACTACCACTAATAATAATATTTAAAAGGGAAATAACAAGGGGAGAGAATATAAAACTAAAAGAGGAAAAGGAAAACAATAAACATATATGATGCACAATACAATTCCCACCTGCTGACAGATACCTAGCCTGACCTGAGCAGCAAAATGGGCCTTGCGGGTGACTCCCCCCAGTTTATATACTGGGCATGAAGTGTTGTGGTGTGGAATACCCCTTTGGCTAGTCTGGGTCAGGTGTCCTGTCTTTGCTTCCTCCTGGCTTCTTGTGCCGCTCCTCACTGGCAGAGCATGAGACTGAAAAGTCCTTGATCGGGGTACGCACTACTGAGCAACAACTAAAAAATTGATGTGTTATCAGTGTTGTTCTCAGGCTAAAGTAAAAAACACCAGCTACTAAGAAGGAGAAAAATGACTGCTACAGATGAATACAGGACATGATCCCTTTGCAAATTTCTTTACCCTTTAACTTGACATACCTTCCAAAACTATTGAGCTGTGAGTTTACAGATAAAGAGACAAATTAGGTAAATGCTAGCATTTTTAGGCTTGATTTTCTTTTTAGCCCTGAAGGCTGCCAATAAAGATTGAATAAGGCTTGTTTTAAGAAAAACATTTGAAGCACTGATTTGCTGCTACTGTAAATTGTAAATATGCTATGAATGATGCCTTTTAAAAATAGTATTGCATGGTAACATATATTTCAATACACAGTTTCTTCAGTTTACAAAATTTGGTCAGCTTTGAACATGCTAGTTCATTCTTAACTTTGAAAGCTTAGCTAGCTATCATCATCAATAGTTTTTATTTAAATTGCAGTTAGACCTTACTCATTATTATATAATCATAGAATAATTAGGATTGGAATGGACCTTAAGATCATCTAGTTCCAACCCCCCTGCCATGGGCAGGGACACCTCGCACTAAACCATGTCATCAAAGGCTCCATCCAACCTGGCCTTGAACACTTCTAGAGATGGAGCATTCACCACTTCCTTGGGCAGCCTGTTCCAGTGCCTCATCACCCTCACAGTTATTACTGTGTCTGACTTTAAGCCTGTGGAAATCAGAAAGACTGCCACTTAAGTTACTTGATCTTAGGATAAGATCCCTGAATAAAGACAAATAAGCAGAATCATTGGATGTTCAGCACTAGGAGTATATGAACAGAAGATTTTTTTTTTTTTTTCCAGGGAGGAAAATAGATTGAATATACAAAAGGAATCGCATTGTAGGAAAAAAGGTACAATTTTACTTAATTAATTTTAGTTAAAATGCCACTGGATATAAGTTAGTTGCTGTAAAGTAATTTATTTTTGAGCAGAGGACCTGAATGCTGAATTTTTAGCCTGTCTCATAAGTAAACAGATGGGAGAGAAGACTTAAAAAGGGGTTTTAATACAATGGTTTTAGCCCTTGACAGGCAGCATTGCTACTTCTCAGAAGTAAGAGAATAATCCTGGGCTTTGTTTAGCTGTTACTGAGGTATATGTATACATCATTTAAATAGCTCCTATGAAGAATGTATTGTTTAATTACATTTCATGTACACAGTGAGATCCCAATAAAGATTTAGTGCCTTATGGTTTTTATTAGTAAATATTTGCTTAGGATGTGCAATGATTTTTCTCATTCTCAAGATAGTTTCTATTATTCTTAAGCTAGAGGTTCCCACAGGTTTCACATTTATATATTAAATTGTCAGGTTCTGCAGTTGCTTTGTGTAGTTTAATGTGGTGCTTGTCTTGTTTCAAAATTACTGTAGGTAAAATTTTTGTGTTTGGACAGCATGCATATATTGTTTTTTGCTCCTCAAATAGGTATAAAGCCTCTTTTTCTTGGGTTTTTATTGCTTCCTAGAGGATTCCTGAGTGAACTCTAAACTTAGAAATATAGACACCGCTGCCTTTTCTTATTGATATGCAGAGTAATATAATGAGGATTTCCTTCTCTTCTTGCTGCTGAAGTTCTTCCTGATAATCCCAAAGCTGGTCATTTTAACTGTCTTTTTTTGATGGATAGAAGGAAGAACAATTTCCTTCCAACTGTATCCTGTTTTTGCCTTGCCTAGAATTAGTGCTAGAAATGCTGCACATCCGGTGGCTCATGCAATGAAGGGCATGCTTTCAGTTGGTGTGAGGTTGATCACTCCTACATGTCTTGTAGGCATCACCCCTGTGATGCAGCTGTGCCCATCAGACCTAGCAGAGGTTGCTTTCACCTTGTATACTAGGATAGCATTTGCATATCTTTTCATGTTCTTGCATATATTTGTGTTGTGAATTCTCTTCATTGGTGTTTGGTGTGTTTTCCAAAACTAGATCAAGAGCTTTGGGCTTGGCTACTTTAGATGTTGCAATCACTATATCAGCCTTTATCTCTGTTATATTATGTACAATTTTGTGTTTAACAGTCCGTTATAAAAGGGTTCAAGTATGTAAGTAAAATAAGCATAATTATTAAGGTTTATTAGTTAAACAGTATTTTGTATCTCAGCATAACAGAACTAAACGTTATTGTGTAATGGTTTTGACACCTTCAATTGAATTCAGAACAGAAATTTTAAGGGAATTGGACTAATCTGATTTATTGGGAAAAAAACCAACCACCCTACCTTTGTGACAGAATTGTCTGAGAATTCTAGAATAAAAATAATTTTGAAGCCAAAATTCCCATTATCACCTTAGTGAATGTAATTTTTTTTTGCTTTTCTTTTATGGCAATACTGATGGCTAATATTTGCTAATTCCGTGCCCCCGCCCCCCCAGTCATATCCAGGGGAAACAATTAGAAAAGTTGCTTTCCCAAGTTAACATGCCTTAATAAACATTATTATGTTCTTACTTAATGATGTTTTATCAAATGGCCTCAATGTCTTTAAAGCTGGCTTCAGTCGTGCTGGAGGAGCGACCAGGGAAATTCCAGGATTGCTCAACATGGGTACCGTGTGGGATAGGAACTGCATAGGCAATGTCCTGGAAGAGGCCATGAACTGCTTTGCCAAGATGCAGAGGCAGAGGAAAAATTTCGCATGTGGATAGAAAAGCTAACCCAACTTGAAACAAATGAAGAAAGCAGTCAACAACTGGAGCCCAGGGAACCTAAAATTCAACTAATTGACCAAAAAATCCCCCCTACCACAGTCAGGGGCTTTCATACAGACACCTGATAGCCAAGTACTTCCACAGCAGACATTTAATTCTTATGTGGGCTATCAAAATGTCGATGCTATGCTAGAGTTTCCAGTGACTTTTAATAACAATTTTTCATCTATCATCTTTCCAAAGTATGGGAATATTGCAGAGCCTGATATTCAATCATAAACTTAAAAAAAAAAAATATCTTTGCAATCCTGATATTACTCCAGGTTATGATAAAAACAAGGTTTGCTTTTATCTGTATTTGTTTTGTTTTTATCTTTTGGGTTTTATTACCATGGTATTGTTTTCTTTACTTTATAGAGACTATATATATAGTTAACCCTCCACCCCAGTATACCCACATACAGGTGTCAACACACACATACCTTTTGGGGGGGGAACAACTACTCTAAGCTTTCATCACCAAACTTGGGAAAACATAACTTAAAATCCTTGATTAGCTAACCCAAAATCAGTAGAGCTGTTTCCTACAATAGGAACATTCAGAGTATTCATCCAAATGCTCTTTTTGCATGTTAAAACATTTATATAAGGAAATAAGCTTTATATTTAAAGATGTAAAGTACCCTAGAGAACCAGACTAGATGCAGACCTTTACTAGATACAGACATTTACTTAACTATCTGTTTACTTGCTGCTTGAACATGTCACGCATTACTTTTTTCTTTTTCCTTTTTAGGCAGAAGTAATAAATAAACTCACCCTTAACTATATATAACAAATGTGCACAACTGATTTTTGTCTCCCACTTAGTAGTTCATTTTCTGTCCAGAGTTCTTATTAATGTCATTGCTGTGTCACATGTGGCATATTTATGGAACTATCTTATATTGTGTGTGCAAATATGGACATATATGTGTTCAGTATGGGTGGAAGTCATCTCTAATTTTAGGTGTCTAGTTTGCTGTTCTGTGGATCTCCTGAGTCAATGGGAAGAAGTAAGCACCTAGAGAGGATACCTCCGGCAGTGTCTTTCTTTTCCGTTATTTGTCTAAACCTCCATTACAAACAGTTTAGGATAGATGACTTTTGTCTGAAGTGAGATGAATCACACCCAAGTGCATGTGCATGCATGAGCTGTGCTCACAAGGCATAAAAATAGTCGTGTCAGTCCTAAAATAAGCAGCTGTTGGTGGATGGATTGAGCCTTGGCACAGGAATTTAAAGTAAGGCTTGACAGTCGGATTAGTAAAAACTGTGGTGGTCTGAAGGGATGGGTTGCTGTCATGGTTTAAGCCCAGCCAATAACTCAGAACCACACAGGTGTCTTGTCTCATGTTACCTCCCGGCTTCCCATGCCACTCCTCCCTGGCAGAGCATGAGAGACTGGAAAGTCCTTGATCGGAGTGTTATAAAAATTCGTCTTAGCCATCATCTGATTTAATTATTTTATTACAATTGATTAATATTGAGAGGCAATAAGCAAGCAGCGCTGGGTGCGCCGGGGAGTCTCCGCTCCACCAATGATGCACACCGGGGTCTTTGGGGTTCAGTCTTTTATACTTCGTGGTCCTGGGTCTCAGCCAATCCTGTCTTCTCCTTTACGTCAACATGGCTCCTTTCTATTGTTCTTCCTTGGTTGCTGGGGTCTTGTCTCCGGTTGAGAAAATTTTACCCAACCCCTTCCTTAAAGCACTCAAGCAGTAAAACAAAGCCATAAAGCACCCTTATTATTTTAGCAGTCAAAATGATTAAAGAGGGGACTAGTCTATTCCCTTGTTTCTTCTTCTTTCCCATCATTACATTGATAGCAACATTTATTATACATGGTACACTGGTCACAGGTGCATTGGTAACAATGATTCCTAAGTTCTTGACATGAATCATTCTCGTATTCTTTACAGGAGTAAATATTACTTAGCAATAACTAAAAACAAAGGTGTTATCAGCGTTGTTCTCAGGCTAAAGTAAAAAACACGGCTCTGCAACAGCTAAGAAGGAGAAAAATAACTGCTGCAGCTGAACCCAGGACAGTTGCTGGTCTGGATCAGACAGCATGAGCTTGTTCTGAACTATGTTTGAATGCCACTGAAATCATTATTTACTTGTGATGGGGAATGTCAGAACACTAATTTAAATAATATTATTATTGTGTGGATTTATTTTTTTTATATTGATTGGTGTTCTGAATAGGCCGACTTGAAACTGTGATGTTTAAAGTAGGATTAATTTAAACTGTATATCAGAATTCTCTATTTAATTCTTATTATTATCACTACAAACAGGGATTTTTTTTTTGGTCACTTCATTAAGGCCTTTCTTCATCATCAGTTACAGCTTGCTAAAAGTTTCTAATGCAAATTAAATAAAAATTCTAATAAAATCAACTAAAATTCTGCATAGACATAATTTAAATAGAGAGAACACCATAGGTCTCTCTTAGCTCTGTTATTTACCATTTAAACCACAGTCACATTTTTTCCCTGATTATTTTAGTTAGATTTTCTTCCTGTTGGAAGTAGCCACTGTATGTTCTATACATCTGGGTGTTGTTTGTTTGGGGTTTTTTTTGGAGGGGGTTGTGTGTGTGTGGTTTGGGGTTTTTTTGCTAGGTGGGGTTTGTTTGGGCTTTTTTTTTTTCTATCTTTTGTGTTATTTTCCTCTCCTCCTTCCCTGAAGTTAGTGGGAGTTTTCCCATCAATTTATATGGGAAATTGGGTCAAGCCTGTAACAGGAACTCAAGAAATGTTTTTTGTTATCAGTATAATACACTGGTGTGTTAACATTATTCTTGGCCCAGACTTACTTTCTTTTTTTATGTGATGCCTTCAGTGGGAAAAAAAAACCCTGAAACAAAACAACAACAACAAAAAGCCCCAAACCGAAGCAAAAAACCCTATGAGGTTAGAGAGCTGTTTTAATTTCAGAGTTGCTGTTTGAAAGACTATGCAGGAGATAACTTTTAAGTACTGGAATAAATTCTTTACAGATTTTGATACAAAGATTTTGATATGAACTTGTAAGAAAACTTCCTCATCTGAAATTGAGCATTTCAGGTAAAAGTTAAATGAGTTAATTTATGTTCAATTGTAATTTAATAAACTTGTCCTCACATGTTAAGATCCTTTAGGGAAGATTATGTGCTGATATTGAAAAAAAATTGGATCCTTCTGGTGTTTATAGATTTTTATATATATATATACACATATACACACATCCCCACCCCCACCCTTTATGCCAATAATAAGAACAGCATATTTTAAAGCATGATGATTTTACAAGTCTTCCCATGCATGCAGAAGCAGCTTTTTGCAGTGACTGGTTTCTTTTAATGTGTAAGAGTCACTTATCTCAGTATGTCTGTAGGCATGCCCTTAACCTTTTTTATAAAACAGTATATATGGAGCAATTGGGTATTTCAAAACAAATTGTGAGGAGATTGGTTGAACTTATCTCTCAGACTGAAACATCTTTATGTGCAGATCTTATAAATGGATAATTTGTTAGGGATGTATTCAGTGAAATTTCTGCCAATTTTCAATACCTTGTTTAGGTAATCTAAAAAATAAAATAAAAAAATCAGTGTATTAATAGATAAAAATTTGGATTTGGTTACTACAGGAAAAATGAAAAATTGTCAAATATTTTAATCCATTACTGTTAACTGTTGTTTTCAATTATAAGCAGCTGTGAATGTGAAAGAACAAGCAGAGAATTATAACAGTTGAGCATACAGACTGTAAAGCTGTACTCTTTCTAGAATAAAATTATTCCAAGGCACCCAGAAGACTGAGGGAATAGTTCATATTATGTATAATTTTAATTTAATTTCCCCACAAAAGCTACCTAGTGTTAAGAACACCTGTGCAAGACCAATGGTTTTGTGAATAATAAATATTACTTTGTTGGGTTGCTCTTTTCACTTGT